AACAGCACCCATAATTGCCACATTCAACAACCCTGTCGGATTTTTTTTTTACTTTTTTCATGAATATAATATAATGCTGTCTCGCAAATGTGTGTGGCATGTGTGGATGCGTGTATTTGTGTATGTGTGTGAGAGAGAGAGATTGTAAAAAAGTAAGTAAAGGTTTATGAATGAACATTGTAGTCTAAATATTTTTCTGATTAAAACTTATTAAATTCTGATTTCAAGACAGACCCTACCATATGAAAATGACAAGGCAGAACACAGTAGATTTTTGGAGTAACACTATTTGCAGTTCTACAAACGCTGCACCATCTGGGTTTTATAATTTCAGGAAAAATAATTTGAGACTAGATGAACATTGGAAATATGAAACTATATATTTAAATGTATTCTTTAATCTAGTTTTTTTAATTTATGGAGAATAAAGCAATTATCAATATACCACAGAGCAAAATAAAGGAGTTTACGTACAAATAAAATGTAATAGACACAAGGGAGTTAAAAAATATTATTCTAGTCTCCAGGTTCAACACAGGATTACAGTGTAGAATGTAACCACAGTTTTTCTGTAAGGTAGTTTTAAATCAGTATTAAAGAGCGTTTTGTTATTCCTGGTGACAGAGCATAAACACACTACTGAGCAATGAAAATTTTATTCCACTTGTTTGTTTTAAACAAGGAACTTACCTATGAGTTTCAGAATACAAGGCAGCATAAATTAATTTCATGTAACTGTTAATTAACTTCTTTACTATATTCATCCCCACAACACGAAAATGAGACAGATCACTTGCTGTCCGCAGCAAAATGTTTTCTAGAGCTTGAAAAATTAGCAGCATCTGCAAAATTTCAAACATCCCAACATACTGTCTTTTTAAAATACAAATGGAACTGAGCACTCTAAACAAAGTTTATTCCAACAGGAAAGAAAGCTTTGCAATGTTCTTGCAAAAACCCTCTGCTGCTAAATTAAATTATATCCAGACAAGGCTTTGGATTGCAACATGATCCTAATGAACATTTCCGCATGGTCAAAGCTTTAGTTACTAATTACTATTATGTTTTTGTTTAAAAGGCATATGGGAAACCTATCTGCCTATTTTGTTTAATACTATCAACTCTTTAAATATCTTATCAAATAGGGATAGTGTAAAATCTCCAATTGAAATGAACTTGAGGACAGCCTGATGAAGAGTCAACCTAATCCTCATTTTTAAAGGGAATCCTTCTAAGATGGTTTTTTAGCATTAGAAAAAAGTATGGAAAGAGTTTGTCCAGTCAGTGGACAGGATGACCACTTGTTCTACACTTGTACCACTTCAGCTTCAGATCAAGCTGTTTACTATCCTTTAAATACTTTATGTGTGGACTATGGTTATTTTTTCCCCTCTTATGCACAGGTATTAAACTCGCTGAGTCATGTGACGTATCACGACGTATCGTGACTTTTTTCGCATTGCTGGAGCTGGAGTAGGCATGGCCTCTGCATGATGCAACCGGCCCAAGGGCCAGCAGTTGGACACCTCTGCTCTTATGGATCAAATGACCCAGTAGAAAAAAATTTTGTGTTCCTGGTCTAGAACATAAAGGATAGTCGTATCTTTTATATTACAAAAAGGATGCCGATAGAACAAATACTCACAGGACAAATACTCATCCTTGGCAACTTCTTTGCCATACATGAAGAACTCTGCTACCTCATTTAGAACACATATTTATATTTGGTCAATATATACTTTAGGTCCAGTACCAAAAGTATAATATCCCATCTCTAATCCCAAAGGTATACTGCTATTTACAACACTTTATTGCAGGGACAGGAATATGGGACAAGCCTAACCAACATGGCCAATGGGAATTACAGTCCAACAAGACTTGGCTGCATTGCCCATCTCTGAATTAAAGTATCTCTGCATGAGCATCCCAGCACCGCAGGAAACATCTAGGAAATTCATTATTCTACAACATTGCCCAAGAATTTTAGAAAGGATTGCACAGAATAAATTACTACAATCTTATACTTATTCAATAATAAGATTCACTATCTCAGCAATTAAATGAATAATCTTCCAAAGTTTCTTTTCTTGTTTCAAATGATACCTATTTTGAAAAAAGATATTAATTTGGAGGAATGGCAGAAGGGTATTAATAAGTTTATTTGGGCAGGGAAAAAACCAAGAGTTAAGTTTAAGATTATACAAGATGTACGGGAAAGAGGAGGACTTAAGGCGCCTAATTTAAAATTGTACTATGATGCGATGGCTTTAACGCTAATTAGTGATTGGTTCAATTTAACAAATAAAAATATCCTTTCTCTTGAGGGATGGGATTTAGTATATGGATGGCATGCTTATTTAATTTATGATAAAAAAGTGGATCAGGTTTTTAAATCCCATATTTTGAGAAGTGCTTTGTTGCGTGTCTGGAAGAAGTATTATTATAGGTTAAATTATAAAATTCCAATTTGGGGAATTCCTGGACACGCGATAGAGGGAATATCTAGGGGAGTGAATTTGGATAGGATTTCTTATAAGGAATTACTTAGTTTGGTAGGGAAGGATTGGCAACTAAAGTCTTTAACTGAGCTGAAGCAAGAAAATATTGTATACTTTTGGTTTCAGTACAATCAATTGTTAGTAAGATGGAGTCTAGATCAAAAGGTTGGTATTACCTTAGAGGATGTGAATTTGGTAAAAACAGATTAAAGATCAAACTCAAGCCCAAATAAAGAGAATTTATAATGTTTTAATAGAATTAGATTCCGAAAGGGAGTTAAAGATTGTTTGGTTAAATAGGCTCAAAATATTCAAGAACCGATTTTATTGGATACATGGGAGACAATTTGGGTTAGAAATGTAAAATTTACCCAAGCGCAAAATTTAAGAGAAAATTTTTATAAAATGTTTTATAGATGGCACTTGGATCCCCAAAAGCTGTCCCGCATGTATCCTAATTTTCAGCCCAAATATTGGAGATGTGGAAGCTTAGATGCAACCTATTTTCATATTTGGTGGACTTGTAGAGATATAAAAGCTTTTTGGATTAAGATCTGGTGGAATATTCAAAAGATTTTTAAGAGAAAGATAAAGTTTACTCCACAATTATTTTTGTTAGGTATTTTGATGTCAAAGGAATTAATTTGATGCTGAATCTTATAACAGCTGCAAGATTATTGGTGGGGCAATATTGGAAGAAAAACTCTTTGCCTACTATGGAAGAATGGATACTTAAGGTGTCTAATTTAGCAGAAATAGCGAAAATTTCCGCCTATTTGAAGGACCCTTCACAAGAAAACTACATTTCGGTCTGGAGAAGATGGATTGATTATATTCAAAAGAAATATGAGACTGAAAAGTATTATCTTGCTTATGAGTAGATTTTAGGTTATTATTAATAGTTTAATATGATTGAATTTATATTATTTTTAGTGTTATGTTAATTATATTATCTTTGTTTTCAATTTGTTAATATTTGTTTTAAAAAGGAGTTAAAGTATGTTATAGTTTGATTGATAGTACAGTCGGGTAATGTTAGTTAATGGTTGTTTATTTGTTACCCTGTAATCAGCTCTGGGAAGTGGGGGAGGGGGGAAGGGGTGGGAGGGGTTTGGGTTATATTGTATTAAATTTGTAAAACTTTTAATAAAAAGAAAAAAGAAATAAGATTCACTAAGGGTTTATTCCCTAGCAAGTGTAAGAGTGCCAAGATACTTTTAAATGAATAATCACAAATGGCATACAGCAGAATTAAGTGTTCATTCTTAATAGCATAAAGACAATACCTAAGAGGAGCCTGTGACAGCTCTCATCAATTGAAACACTGACCTCACTTTCAGGACGCCTTTCACCATCCAGAAGTTTAAAAATTTCTGCACATTCAATAGAAACTTTTATGTATCCTTCCACTACATCATACTGCTCATTTGATGGTAGTAATTTAGCTTTGGCTATGAACGTTTCCAAACCTGGAACAAAACATACATTTGATTCTTCTTTCAAATCACGCTGGACATGTTATTCTTTACTTCACACAAACTCTAACTGGCATGCCTAATAGGCATTTCGATTTTATTTTAATAGCAATTTGCATTTCAAGCTCCCAATGTATTAACTGCCTCATTTTTCCATAGCAGAGCTGGAAAGTGAATTTACTTTCCTTTTTTATTGCTATCAATATTTTACCAATATAGCTTTTAGGAAACAAGTTGTGAAAAAAAGACCCTCAAATGGAGAGGTTGACAAAATAAATGTAATAGTAGGAACAAAAGAGAAAAAGTTGGCAATTTGTATCAAAACAATGTAGGAGCATGCCATGATACCAATGATGGCAGCTGAAAAATCTATCACAGCTATAGAGTAATTAACTATATCTATTGAAGACTGCCTGCCTTCCAATAAATGTAACCTTCCCGCCCCCACACGCTTCCTTTTATAATCCCTTTTATCAATTGTAACTCGCAATGACAGCTGTCTATACGAAGAATTCATTAATCCTTTTCCTCAGGACGGAAGGCGACAGAATCCATTTTAAGTTTGCCTCTTCCTCCTGGACACCACGTTGTTCTCCGTGACGCATTTGTTTACAGGCAACTTAATCTGCATTAAATATTAAACTACTGTTCGCATGTTAGCAATATGCAGCTGTGGCGACCGCGCAGCTCTTTGTCACCGCGGAGAAATCCACTCGACTGAATCTGGCCCGCACGCGGGTCCCATGAGAGCATGGCTGGCTGGCTGACCTTTCATCGCAGTGCTGGAGTCGCGGAGGAGGAATTTGAACTGGGCGCCGGTAAATTCCGCGGCCTCGGTGCTGCGAACCCGCTTGGCCGGGGGCGGGTCCTGCCGCTTGGCCGAGGTCGAGCTTTTGCGTTTGGTGGCCATATCCAGAAGCAATCGCGGTTTGCCGCGACACCCGGCAGAACGAAGAGAAGCCAGGCTCACCCTGGCGGGGGTTGCCCGTCTCGGCCGGAAGTGGTCCGGTTCACTTATTCTCCCCCCATCCGCGAAATTACAACAGACGGGTTCCTAAAGCAGTCAGCCAGTCTGAGCTCTGTGGGGCAGTGGCGCAGGCCAGGGTCCACCTCGTTGCCCAGAGGAGCAAAAGAGGACGTGATTCATTGCGGTTTCTATATGTAAGATTAAATGTTCGCAAGCTGATTTTTTTTTTACTTCTGCACCCATTAAGTCAAACCTGTATGTCTAAGAAAAAACTACTTTTAGTTCTGTTGGACTTTTAAATGAACAAACAAGTTATATGCTAGTTATATGGGGAGGGAATCAAATATCTTCATTTAAAACAATATTCTCAGCGGTTAGGGATGGCTGGTTGGGAATTCTAGGAATTGAAGTCCACACATCTTAAAGTTGACAAACTGAAAATAACGCTGAAGTGTAATCAAGTACAGACAAATTCAGAGTCCAGAATTATCTATTTATAATGGCTATCTGAAAACCTAAAAAGTAAGTTCCAGATACTTACCCCACTGTACTGAAGTAACTATATACTGTATAATAGTACACATTCATGTATTGACAGGTTTCATGTGATGTGCATTCTAACATAAGGCAATGGTCAAACCTAATTGTTAACTCTTACTGCACAGATTAATGGTTTTTATCACATTTATTTTATGAAACAATATGTAACAAATATTTCTATCAGTAATATTCCAAGCTTATTTATCTCAGTAAATAGATTCACTTTTATTAGAATAATTCAGTCTTAAGTTTAATGTCTCATTGATTTAAGTGGCACTACTGTTCTTTGTTTGGCACAACATATTGTGAGAAATGCAGGTAATCCTCAACTTATGAATATAATTGAGCCCAAAATTTCTTTTGCTAAGGAAGACAGTTATTAAGCAAGTTTTGCCCCATTTTATGATCTTTCTTGCCATTATTAACTGAATTACTGCAGTTAAGTTAGTAACACAGTTGTTAAGTGAATCTGGCTTTCCTATTGACTGCTTGGCAAAAGGTCACAAAAAATTATCACATGACCCTGGGACACTACAACCGTCATAAATATGAGCAAGTTGTCAAGCATTTGATCATGTGACCACAGGGAGATGGTTGGCATACAAACTAAGAAAACAGACAGAAAAGAAGATGAAAACCAAACTTCAAGAGGGGAATAAGACTTACATGGATAACAAAAACATTTAAACACTTTTTTGGAATTATTATACTAATTTATTTAAAGAGCAAGGAATCTCTTTAGATACTATGGAGGAATATATAACAACTAAACATCTTCCTAAACTATCAGAAAACTACAAGCAAATTTTGAACAGTTCAATAACAACTTTTGAAATAATAGAAGCAATTAAAAGAGCTAAAACAGGGAAAGCCCCAGGATCAGATAGCCTATCAAGTGGATTCTATAACATTTTCAAAGATGAAGGACTTAATGAATTCTATTTTACAGGGGAACCCTATTCCAGACTCTTGGAAAGATGCCTACATTTCTTTAATACCCAAGATGGACTGGATTTAACTTCTGTGAAGAACTACAGGCCAATATCTTTATTAAGGACTACAAACTCTTTACATCTATCTTAGCTGAAAGACTTAAAAATTTTTTACAGGATTATATATATGAAGACCAATGTGGCTTCTTACCTAAAAGATAACTAAAATATAATGTAAGAGTAATTTGGAATATAATTGAATTTTTACAACAACATAGCAACAAACTGGTTGCATTAATCCAGACATGTCAAACTCGCGACATCATCTGACATTGCGCAATGTATTGGGACCATTTTGCTATTGCTGGCAATGGGGTGGACGCGGCTTCCGCATGACAAGTCTGGCCCATGGGCCGGCAGTTTGACACCCCTGCATTAAGCTTTCTGGATGCAAAAAAAGCTTTTGACAATTTGAACTGGGTCGTTATGTTTAAAGTAGTAGAAAAGATGGGTTTTGGATTGGACTTTATACAGGGTCTGTATACCACGGGTGTTAAACTGCTGGCCCGCGGGCCGGTTTCATCATACCGAAGCTGTGCCCACCCCATTGTCATCAATGCAAAAAGAGTCGCAACATGTCATGTCACGTGACACGGCGAGTTTTACACCCGTGATCTATACACTACATAAAGCTCAAATCATGGTGAATGGAGACTTTACAAAACCATGTGATTTCCAGAAGGAAACAAGACGGGTGTCCTTTATAGTCTATTATTTATTCTAGTGTTGGAACTGTTAAATAGAGATATTAGACATAATAGCAGGGCAAAAGGACCACATTAAAGCACATAATTAAAAAATTACATGCATTTGCTGACAATTTGGTATTGATTGTGCAAGAACCGCTAGAGAACATTGAACATGTTATGAGGAAGATTAAAATGTTTGGAGAAATGGCAGGTTTAAGAATAAATAAAGACAATAATACTAAGAATATAAAGTTGGAAGATCAGAAGAAATTGGAATTTAAAATTGTTTTTAAAATTGTGAAAAAGGTACAGTACTTGGCAGTGACTCTTACTGAGGAAAATCCTAAGCTTTACAAAAATAATTACGGTAAAATATGGGAGCAGGTTCATTTTATCATATGTGGTGGCATTGCAAATATGTGAAAACATACTGGATAAACAACAGTAACAATGCAAAAAATATTTAAGATATAAATATTAATGAAAATTGAAGCTTTTAGGTATTATGGACAATTGAAAAACAATTTGGGATGCTATTCCTTCACATGGTGACAGCTGTGAGGATTGTACTGCCAAACACTAGAAAGAAAAAGAAATTCCGACTGTTGAATGGATTTTGAAATTGACTGAATTGGCAGAGATGGCAAAATTAACTGCTTTGATTACAGATAATGGAATAGACAGCTTTATAAGACTGGAAACCATTTGTGGACTTTCTATGTACTAAATATAATAACAGATGCTTAACAGAGGGATCCTACATGTTTAATTGACCACTTTTTCCTGTTTTTTTTTGTACACTATTTTTTCTTTTTTGTTGTTAGGGTTGAATGTATGCTTTTCTTTTGTTTTGTTTGTTTTACTGTTTTGTATTTTATTTTCTATGATAAAGCAATATTTTTTTAAAAAAAAGTCATTTTAGTGCCATTATAATTTTAAACAGTCACTAAATGAACTGTTGTAAGTCGAGGAACTGTAGACATTGTTTGCAAACCATTGTTATAGGTTAGTGGGAACCTAATCATATTCTATTCAATTATGACTTAGCAAAAAACCAATTCCTTAAAATGATACTTCTACAAGAACTTGTTTACTGATCAAACACCAAAAGCAGTTGAGATATCTAGCCTTATTGCAGTGGTTCTCAACCTTTCTAATGCCGTGACCCCATAATACAGTTCCCCATGTTGTGGTGACCCCCAAGTGGGTGTGGCCACCAATAAGAGAGAGTAGGACAGCTAGGGAAAAGGGAAAAAATGGCGGACAGCATGGTTTGGCGACCCCCGTGAAATGGTCGTTTGACCCCAAATGGGGTCCCGACCCACAGGTTGAGAACCATTGCCTTATTGTATTGGGTGGAAAATTTAAATTTGATTTTTATTTTCACGGAAAATGATGTTCTTAATTCTTATTTGAAAATAGCTGGTAACAATTTTCTGAAAAACATGGGCTCATAATGGAATCATTATCAATCAGTTATTGTACTGTTCAGAGAATATACAGTATTAAAAAGGTTGGCTCGCATTTTTATGCTGCAAAAGTAATAAATTTGAGTAATTATGGCACATATGGACTTGTCTACTTGTAATTCCATATTGGTTAGATATTATATTATGGTAAATTAGATCCTTCAGTTAAGGATTAAATATGTCAATTATATAATATGTCAATTATATCTCCAAAATCTAGAATCTTTCAATCTATGAAGAACTTTAGCTATATCATGCTTGGCTCTAGCAAAAATTTGAGTGTATATTCATGGAAGAAAGTCCGTATTCCTGATTTGAAATGATGGCTTAATTAAATGTGTCAACTCTCAAACTTTGAATTAGTTTTGTATTGATAGAGAAGCAAGACAGGACAATATGATATTGTATGGTCTAGAATCAATTTATTGTTTATAAAAATTGTAGCACAACTACAAAAAGAATTGAAGAAAGGCAGATATTCTTAGTAGATTGATAGCTATTTATCTACACATATATAGGCGTTTATCTTTAAATGTATGTGGGTGTGGGTGTGTGAATATATAGAGATAAATATTTGGATGTTTGTCATCTTTATTTTTCAGTTTAGTGTACAATTTTCTATTTTGTTTAGGTATTTTAATATAGTATTTCTATTTTTTCTTCATTTTGTTTTATAATAGATATCTACTCGGTAATGTATTATAAAATCATATATTTAATTACATTTAATTTAAGCTTTCAATAACCCAAGCCAGCATGATTTCCATGGAAATCCTGAAACTTAGAAAAAATTATATAATGGAAGAAACAGTTTGTCTCTAATAATAATAATAATAATAATAATGATAAAGTTGGAAGGGACCTTGGAGGTCATCTAGTCCAACCCACTGCTCAGGCAGGAAACTCTATACCATTTCAGACAAATGGTTGTCCAGTTTCTTCTTAAAAACTTCCAGTGTTAGCGCATTCACCGCTTCTGGAGGCTGGTTGTTCCACTGGTTAATTGTTCTAACTGTCAGGAAGTTTCTCCTTAGTTCTAGGTTGTTTCTCTCTTTGGTTAGTTTCCACCCATTGCTCCTTGTCCTGCCTTCAGGCGCTTTGGAAAATAGCTTGACTCTCTCTTCTTTGTGGCAGCCCCTGAGATATTGGAACACTGCTATCATGTCCCCCCCTTGTCCTTCTCTTCGTTAAACTAGACCAAGGGTAGGCAACCTCGGCTCTTTTATGACTCGTGGACTTCAACTCCCAGAATTCCTGAGCCAGCATGGCTCAGCTTGGAAACCTCTCCCTGTCCCCTCAGCATGGCTGGCGCAGGAATTCTGGGAGTTGAAGTCCACGAGTCATAAAAGAGCCGAGGTTGCCTACCCCTGAACTAGACATACCCAATTCCAGCAACTGTTCCTTATATGTTTTAGCCTCCAGTCCCCTAATCATCTTTGTTGCTCTTCACTGTACTCTTTCTAGAGTCTCAACATCTTTTTTACATCGTGGTGACCAAAACTGGATGCAGTATTCCAAGTGTGGCCTTACCAAGGCATTGTAAAGTGGTATTAATACTTCACATTATCTTGATTCTGTCCCTCTATTAATGCAGCTCAGCACCGTGTTGTCTTTTTTGGCAGCTGCAACACACTGCTGGCTCATATTTAAGTGATTGTCCACTAGAACTCAGAGATCCCTCTCACAGTTACTACTATTGAGCAAGGTACCCCCTTGGTGCTAATATCTCCAGAACTGTCAATTCTGTTCACCTTCCAGAAGCAGGATAAAGCAAAACTGTTCCAGGGGGCTTAGACAATGCTCTGGGAATGCCATACATTCTTTGATTTGGAGTTTTAGTTTGCTGGTTTTATTGTTATTTGTACACTGCCAAAAGTTATAATGATTGCAGCAGAATGTATGTATGTGTGTATGTATGTATGTATGTATGTATGAATTAATGTGTCTGATATCATTGTTTCTCAACCTTGGCAAGTTAAAGATGTGTGGACTACAACCCTCAGAATTCCCCAGCCAGCAAAGCTTCTGGGTGGGTTGAAATCCAACCCGCCCAGAAGATACCAGGTTGAGGAAAAGTCAAAGATATCACCCATCTTATTTTTGGCTCAGAGAAAGTGGTCGAGAGAAAAAACTAAACTGAAGGAATAAGCCGGCTTTGAAAAAGCAGAGGGAGGGCTCATGTATTTAAAAAAGTGTTTGATTGAAATGCAGTATACAAAAAAAATTATTGGAATGTCATGTTCATTATCATTTCCATCAAAATACTGTGCAAATGTAGGATTTTAAATAAGGACCATGTAGTGATTAATTTAAATTGTATGCTTTACTTCAGTTAGCCCAACATTTATTTCTAGAGTTAATACCTCTGGGAGATTTCCTTTAATGTCTGAGTTCAGAAAATAAAGTGCCTTAAAATGTGCTAAGAACAACTTTTTTCTTTCTTTAAGAAGATATAGACCAACAAATATATCTGTGAAAGAGGCAGCAGAGATGTTTAGAAACTTGGTAGCTTATTGGCGGTCTTAGAGTCAGGAACCGCTGCAATTTAAAGCACTGTATTACTATTGCCATGATTTATATGCCCAGTTATAAACTTTTTGTATAGGAAAATAAATGCTGTTTTTATTTTTAAATAAAAAGTCTCAAGATGATTCAATATGAAAAATAAAGCAATGTTAATCATTAATAAAAATAATAACACCATGTTTTAACAAAGTAAAGAAGCAGAAATTTTAAAAATTGCTCCTGGTAAAAAGATATAGGAAATTAAAAAAAAATCATCAGTTCTTTAGACTGCTATTGGCATAGCTAGTATATTGAACTTTTGTTTCTGTTCTTTCAGAAAAAGAATGATTGCATACAAATGAAGCATTCTGGATTCTTGACAAGACTCCAATATCATGTCCCTTTTAGAGTGCAACTGAGATAGATGATCCTAGATTTCCTTTTAAATCTGGCTTTGTCACCGGTTGGGTTGGGAAAGCTGAAAACAAAGTTGCTTAAAAAAATTCTACAAATGTAGCATGTGAATGCTTTTAGAAGATATTATCAGTGAAAAGACACAATTATAAAACTGACTGGATGACACAAACCTAAAAAGTACTTGAACTGCCATTTAAGCAGTTTGTTTCTTAATGGCCACAAGTACACAAAATAGAATAAACAGCTATTGAAAGAAAAAATGTTGGGACCACAGGTTTTCTTCCTGTATTAATCACATGGACATGGAACCATGTCATCTCCTGTTGGCCATATCTTATATGTACACGTATAAATTGATTTCCCAGAGTTCAGGTTTGCAGGTCGTCTAAGGCTGTATTCATACAGCAAACTTAATTTAATTTTGAATTTACGTATTTTTAAAAATTCACACAATGCAGGCCGAGTTTGTACAACATGGCAAACAACTAAAAAAAACTAACCTACTCAATTTGGCTGGGTTCACACAATGACAGCCTTAATGAGCTTTCAAACCTCAAGGTAGAGATTTTTAGATTGCAGTCAACTTTTATTAAATAAGGTGTCAAAGTTCCAGCTGATGATCCCAATGAAGTAAGCACATCTGAGATATTACGATCTCTAATGCAAAACTTTATTGAGCACAGCATAACCAGCACTAATGAATGGAAAACCAATTCTGGCAATATGGCGCCAGAAAGATAGTTTAAAAAGTAAAACTTTCTCTTCCCTCTCTGATAGCTCAAGTCACATTGTCCAATTAATCTTCAGGCCATTGTTATGAAAAGAAAGCCTCTGCTTGCCGTAACATATCTTCTGCGACCTTGCTTCCCATAGGGATAGAAACCACCTCCACATTCCATACATTCTCCTTCCCCCTTGGAACTGTTCACAAGCTAGAAGCGGCATGGCTGTCCTAGTGCAAGCAATCCTCCTAGCTTGACATAAGGTCCAAATCAGCTTGCTGTTCAAGATGCAATTCAAGAAATAAAATATTAACTCGCATGGTGTGGATTTGCCTTACTACTGCCACATTTGGTGCTGAAATCAAGAGGATTAATTTGATTCTGGATAGATTGCTGTATATTAAAGATGAATGAGTTCCTTTTAATGCTCCCCAATATGAGAAATCTAGCAAAAACTGTGGAACTATCATCTGGCTAACAGAAATTATGACACAGCACCGAAAGGAGAAAGCTACCCCAATATGCAAGAATAGATTACTGCTATGTGTTCTTTGTCAGTGTTTGAATTAGGCTATTAAATTCAACTTCATCACTAATTTTGAGATTGTCATATTGCCATAGTGATGTGCATATATTACTTTGATATAATAGAACTTTTAAATGCAGAGTCAAAAGCAAACAACATTAAGATTCAGCCTTTCCTTGATATGTGAACTTGGTACATATTGGGGATTGAGACGGGCATTCTGCATTACCCACAACTATTTGAAGCTCCTTCAAATATTAAAACATGAAGGCTGAAATAAAAAGAGTATTATAAAGACAAACTATTAACATAACACAAAAATGTATAAAATTATGGACAAAAGCTACTACTTTTTATTGGATTTGGCAAAAAAAATCTATCATAAATTCCATTGACCTTCCTCCACCCATTTTATAATCTCTTCCAAAATCTGTATTATTAATGTAGATAGAAATTATTGGAATTACTACATAAGAAGTAGTAATAGTATCCACTATTTCATTTTGATTTCTGAGCTTCCTGACATGTTAGATCCCATAAAGTATATTCATTTAAGTATTTCAGGACAGAAGGCAAGTGTACTGAAATTTATATTTCTTCTCAAGAAAAAAATTATCTTTTTATTTTCTTCCTCGTATCCTGCCTTTATTATTTTTATAAATAACTCAAGTGATAAACATACCTAATACTTCTTCCTCTTCCTATTTTCTCCATAATAACAACCACCCTGTGTAAGGTGAGTTGGGCTGAGAGAGACTGGCCCAAAAGCTTTCTTGCCAAGGTGGTTTCTGAATGGTGAATGCCTTTGCAATCTGTCCAAGAAATGCATTTTTAACTAATTCTTAAATATTAACAGTAGACGCATCCAAATGCATTTGGCTACAAGTGTCTCCTCAGAAAACATAACTATCATAATTGAGGTCAGTGGGAAATGTTCATCATTTTTGGAAGGCAACAGATGGAAGAAGAGACTGGCAATGACAGCTTTGAAAGGATTGTGTTCACTTCACATTCCTTAAAATTTTGCTGTAAGAGGCTAACATCGCTATTAACTCTCCACTACTTAAAGGGTGCAGAGAATTTGAACTGCACGCCATTCATCGTGATCGAAAATAAGGGTTGAGAGAAGGGAGAGACGGTCTTTTTTTTTTATTGTTTCCTATGTTCACTTTCAGAGTAATCATATCCACGTCTATTCAGACGCTTTAGCCCCGTCGATGCCCTACAGGACGGCAGCCCTGTAATCTCTATCCCCACCTCAGCACTTACATGCGGCGGCAGCACCAGCAATAACCAGGCAGCGCGTGAAGTGGGATGGGGTGGGCTCTCGGTGGGGTGCGTTAGCTGGGGCATGGCCAAAAACCAGCCCGGAGCAGCATCTAGGAGGAGGAGGAGGAGGAGGGGGAGGGGGAGGAGGAGGAGGAGGAGAAGAAGAAGAGGAGGAGGAGGCGGTGGTGGTCAAGGTGACAAAGACAGTCTTCGAAGGAGACTGGCCAGAAAGGGATGAAGGGAGCCTAACGGGAAGCAGAAGCGGAGAGCCACTGCGTGGCAATCAACACTGAGCTAACTAGCCGGCCGGTCAAGGCTGCGCCGGCTCCTCCGCACTAAGCGCCCGCCGTCCCGCCGGCTTTGGGAAGGGTTTCCTGGCTTCCCCGCTGCTCTCAGCCAACGCGCAAACAGCCGCGCCGCGCCCTTCGCTGTTCCAAGCGCGCCGCGGGCTGCATCTGGCTGGGATTTCCTCTTCGGGGAAAGTGCGTGGAAGCTGGGCGAAGGTTCCGCGCCGCGTTGCTGTGCCCGCCGGTTCCTGCCCCTTTCCTTCGCCTCCCTCTCCCTCGCGGGGTTGGTCTCCCTCGGCCGCTCCGGTCCTGGGAAGGACAGGGACTCTCTTGGCTGGAGCCGTCATGTGACCCGATTGGGCTGCTTGGATCGGCGCCGCACCATGAGTGAAGTGGGGGCTGGGCAGAGCGCGAGCCGGCGCCAGGTAGCGGCCGGGGGGCTGCTGCTCCGTCGCCTCTTCTGCCTGCTCCTGGTTTGGACCAAAGAGAGTGCCGGGCTGGCTGACTTTTCAGGTAAAGGGACGCGACCCTTGGCCGCCGCCGTCCCTCCTTCTCTTGTCAGCCCCCGCAAGGCAAGACGGCAGGGAACCGATGGGCGCCGGCGAGCCCCGGTGAGGGAAGGCGAGGAACCCCTTTGATTTAGAAGGGGATGTTTGAGCGCTTTTCTGGATTGAAGTTCAATAAGGATGAGATCAGGGAAGAAAGCTTTACCTGTTAAGTTTCTACTTACCCTAGCCTTCCCTGACATAACCAGGAGAGTACTTGCTGGTCACCATTAGACAGTACAGGCCTTCTAACTGGGAATGATGGTAGTTGGGATCCAATACCTCTGGCAGAGAGCATCAAGGTTGGAAACCTGCTGGTTATGGCAAAATTAAATAACAACTTCAATACTAGTATGTTGATTCAAACTACAAAGATGTGTACTCATTAGCAGCTTATCCAGGTTCTCTTTCCTGAATTTTGTTATACTTTTTAGCTAAGAAATTGTTTCTCTTGGGATATTGACAGTACCTTCCTATCTACTAAAGGCTTCTAGATAAATGAGAACCAAACTCATTTTAAAAATGCAAGCCTCAGTGTACTTTGTCAATAAAATATGTGGCAAGAACTAAGAACGAACCCATTATATTACAAAACTGATATGCCACAAATGCCCCTTTGATATTGCTTCCTAGTTTATTTTAATAGCTGAGCCCTTATCCATTCTGATTGTATCCTGACCTTCCACCAGAGACAGCTGAATAATTATTATCAGCTCTGTTCAGTCAGGACATACTGTACAGTCCTGGATGCTTTGAAAGAAGCACTGGACATTAGCAAGGAATCTAGTGCAGAAGTATGTATATGTATAATGCATATGTATAATGCAGAAACCGTTTGATGCGTATGATTGTGAAGCTTACTCATGTTAGGGACGTGGGTGGAGAGGAAGGAAAACTCAATCCAGAAGACATGTTTAAAAAAGATAACATTTGTTCTTAAGTATTCTAGAAAAAAATGCACATGTTAATTCACTCTTTGGTTTTTTGTTTTTTTTTTTACATCACAATCAGAATAGCTAAAAGGCTTTTTAAAAGTTTAAGATCACAACAACTTTGTAATATTTCCTCCCAAAAATGATTTCTATACCTGTTCATAGGTAGTAAGAATTTTAAGTAGCATTAGAGATTTTATTTTTTAAAAAAGAGAAAGTCATAGTTATACATTAATTTAAAATCAAAAAGTCGGTAGGTTTTTTAAAATAACAGTTTTTATGAGCTTCAGGGAACACTCTCGATATTCAGAGATTCTGGGAGTTGTAATCCAAAAATCTGAAGGGCAGCTGATTGTCTATAAAAGTTTAATCATAAAGATAGCAAATTGTTTAGCATAGACATTTGAAATGTATGATATAGTTTATATCAAGATGATTACCAAATATCATGTTTGAGTGATATTTAATTGAGCTACAGTTTGGTAAGAAAATATTTGATAAATAGCTACACTAAAATAGTCAGTCTGCAGATCTGTTCAAAATATATATTGACAGAATGTCAAAACCCCAAAACAGAAAATAGTTAGGAAGCTATCATTGCTCAGACATGTTGATAGATGCTTAGGGGTTCTGGAGAAAACTTGAGCATGTTAAGTATACAAAAAAGTAAATCTACGTGCTATGACAACATAAAGCAAACATGAGTCAACAAGAATTCACATATTTCCTCACCCACACATGCAAGTGATATAAGGGATAGTACAATTGAATGGAAAAAGTGCTGCAAGTTTAATCATTCAATATCCATTGTTTTTGGAATTGGAAAAGTTATATAGCTTAGTTGCTTAAAAGGGCACAGAACACTTACCAGAATTTCCCCTAGACAGTTAATTCTGAGGACAAAAGACCACGCTACTCACTCTCTTGTATGAATTGCAAGTGCAATTTAGTTGCACAAGCACAACTAATAAAGCATGAAAGCAACTGTACAATACATCCATCCATTTTAGAATATGTGAAGAGATTTACAGGCATAGGACAGGAAGTTATCTCTTGACCATGAGACTGCAACCCAACATGAGATATAGTGCATCTTAAAAACTCATCTTGAATGCATGTAGAGTTTAACAATTCTGAACTTTACAATTAGTGATTGCCATCATTAACTAATGTTTGCATATTGTACAAATAGTATGTGATGATACAGGGCATAGCCTGATAAGGATCTGTTGGTGCTCTATTGGGCTGTTTTGATAGTTGCTATTAAACTTTGGGGGAGAGTATCTTTTGTTGGACACTTCACTACAGTTCTGGGATGGGGGGTTGGCTTCTTTGCATTCATGGCAAAGATTCTCCACTATGCTGGTGGATTTGACAGCCAGAAGGATGGCTGGCACAGCACAGAATTTTGATCCAAGTCTAGTATTATAAAACTTAAAGAAAGTTTTAGCCAATATATTCTTGCTTTTTTTTTTTTTTTTTGAAGGAGTACTGACAATCCTTATCCTTTCTTCCACTATTGTTTTTTGAGCTACTGATTTTTTTTCAGGGGTACTTTTAAGCGTAAATAGCTTTTTGAACTGTTGCAAATTATTGAATGCTTTTCCATATTAGTATATAACTAGTATTCTCTTATCAATCTAGCCAAACATCTGTTTATAACAGTGATTCTCAACCTTTCTAATGCCGTGACCCCATAATACAGTTCCCCATGTTGTGGTGACCCCCAAGTGGGTGTGGCCACCAATAAGAGGGAGCAGGACAGCTAGGGAAAAGGGAAAAAAATGGCGGACAGCATGGTTTGATGACCCCCGTGAAATGGTCATTCGACCCCAAATGGGGTCCCGACCCACAGGTTGAGAACCACTGGTTTATAACATGACACTAAATGACAGTCCTTACTTTGCTAATACACAGAATTTAGGACTAAATTTATTTTCCATACATGTGATTCCAAGGAAGAGAGTAGTGACCACTATTGCAGCATGTGATCATAAAACTTAATTTCTGTGTTGGCAAACGCTGCAAGATTATTTCTCTGGCACTTCATTTAGACCAGTGGTTCTCAACCTTTTTAATGCCACGACCCCCAACCGGTCGTAAGTCGAGGACTACTCAACCGGTCGTAAGTCAAGGACTACTCAACTGGTGCAGCACCGTTTGTAGAATGGGACTTTTGGCGGGCTCAGCAGGGCAGAGACAGCCTGGACAATTTCTATTGGCTTTTGAAAGCCAATAGAATTAGACTCTATTCAAGAGAGTCTATTCTATTGGCTTTCAAAAGCCAATAGAATAAAAGGGAGTAGCACAGCTAAGGAAAAGGGGGAAAAAATGGCGGACTGCATTGTTTGGCGACCCCCGTCAAATGGTTGTTCGACCCCAAATGGGGTCCCGACCAACAGGTTGAGAACCACTGATTTAGACGTTTCAGAAATAACTATGTGCCAGGTTACCTTAGTTTCACAGGTTCCTAATGGGACTTAAGTTTGAAATATCTAAACTGCAACTGTGAATCTGGTTGCATGGTATAGTTTCTAGTTGGATGTAACTTTTCCAAAGGATTGTCCTAAAGTTCCAATATTCTTAGTAGCCACATAATGGAGCTAACACCAGTATAACTTAATCATGATCTTATGCTCAAGGAGTAATTTGACTAATAATATAGCAATAGCTCAAGAAATAAATAACATTGACCAATGTTCCACAGCATCCCTTTTGCAAGTCAAGAATCACTTGCAAGTCACAATACCACATACTGAAAACCATCATGGATAAAAGACATTCAAGATCATGTAGGGTATCATCCTATTCAGATGTGCTGCAAGCAAAATAATAGATACTGTAACATTATTTTCCATGGTAAATAATCAGAGGAGTCCTGTCTGTAGATTTTCAGAGCTCCCAGAAAAAGAATTATAGTTTTGGGATGCTATAAAGTCATGCATAACTGAATGGTATTCATGTTACACATAGCATGTATAGACACTGAGCTTCAGACAACCGTTGGGAAAACAGCTAAAATTAGCAAAAACAAATCCAGTCCAAACTGTAAACTTTTAATAAACTTTTATATTCTCCCTTTAACTATGGTTTGTATTTTTGTTTTTAAGATATTATGATGACTTCTTATATTTATATTTGTTTATATATCTTTATTATTTATCTATTGTTGTGTATCACCCAGAGTCGCCTTAGGTAAAATAGGCAGCTATTATTATTTATTTATTAAATATTAATTTATTAAATAAATAAAATCTCCTATGGAAGCTAGAGTGAGTAGAACTGATAACTATCCATAATTGTTTTTTCTCTGTGTGAGATCTTTTGAGTCTCTATTGATTTCAGTGAGAATATCTAGCAATTCCAATTAGCAATAGTAATAGCACTTAGATTTATATATCTCTTCATAGTGCTTTACAGCCCTCTCTAAGCGATTTACAGAGTCAGCATATTGCCCCCAACAATCTGGGTCCTTAATAATTAGCCATTATTAATTGAGAGATAATTTTCTGCTATGATCTCATATGATATTCTATGACAGTATTGTTTACATATGGGTCTGTTTTTCATCATACATTTTAAATAGTTTTGAGTAGTTTAATTACTTTTTCTTTGGATTGCTTAAAAATGTATTGTTTTAATAAGAATGAAATATGATCTAAGTTTTAATTTGTTGACATGTATAAAATCATATTAATATGTCATTATCTACAAGGATCAGTGACCATAATTACTTGAAACAAAAGGCAAAATAAGGATCCCCAGCGGGGACAGGAAATATCAGAGTTATGAAATAATATTGAATAATATTTCAACTCAGCAGTGGGAAAGACTTACCAAAAAAGGCCAGCATTTGCCTTCTAACTGTGGTTGGATGTATGGTGGTGTAAGTTTTAAAGAACTACAAGTTATCACAGTTTTCTAAATACCAGGCATCTAAAGTTGTTGATCTGGGTCCAACTTTCTCTTCTTGTTAGTAGCCACAGAATAGCTTTCTTTAAACTTGGCTGAGTTTGTGAAAACAAATCCTTTTAAA